GAGAGAGAGAGAGAGAGAGAGAGAGAGAGAGAGAGAGAGAGAGAGAGAGAACACAGGCATGTGAGAAATACAGAGATGAGGGTAAACTAAATGATTGAAAAATGTTTTAGAACTACTGTTTTTCTATTATAAACTTCGTTCTGCGTGTCTATAGGCACATACGCATTTATCGCATGCTCCCTCTCCCCGTCTGCAGCACCGGACATAACAGGTACTCTTTACTTAAATGGAAATTTATTTGACATATTTGTAGGTAGGTATAGTCATTCCGACAAACAGACATACACGCGCATACGCGAATGGTCGCACGCACGCACGCACGCACGCACACACACACACACACACACACACACACACACACACACACTCACACACACATGTCAAACTAGACGATTGGGTTAGGATTTACGATAGAAACATTCCTCGTGCGTGTCGTGACACAATTTCCAAGCACGTGTCCGAGTTGATTTGTGATATGACAAGGTTTTCCGATTTAGCAATGAAAAAATCTCCCGCCCTCACACATACACAAACACGTACGTAGGCGTATACACCCTAGAGGCATACCCATTACTTATGTATCGCCTCTTTTCATTGATGCGCCACATCCGTATTTATTATGTAAAGTCGAAATTGCATATGCAATTTCTTCCCCCGTTTTCTGCCGAATTTTGGCGCGTAAGCCTGCATTTTCGGTCACGTCTCTGTTCACTTTCCCGCTCACACCGGGCGTGACCGAAGCAATATCAACTCATCGCTGCGATTTCATACCAATATTCATAACTAGTTCAGCGCGTACAAGTGATGGTATATAAGGTGGTTCGAGTCACGGCATCGTCAGTCAGTTATCAGCCTCCCAGTGATCACGATGAAGCTTCTACTGGCTCTCGCCGCTTTAGCGTATATGGGTAAGTCATGCAACACTCAATGCTAATATAGATCCTATTCTGCGTAAGCAGTTTGTCAGTTCACCTTATCTTATCTACGTAATATTTTTTGCCTGTATATAGTGCAACATGCTCATGCTACGAACGTTAATTAACGACGAAATAGTATAGCCTTTAAATGTAGTTACGTTTCAATGGTTGAGTTTTTTAACATCGCCAAGCGTCAGTCATCGAACATTTATCGTTATAGTGATTATTGTGCATCGCATTAGTGTAGGATGATTATGTTACAGGATGGGCTTCGCCAGTAGAGAAGCGCCTCGGTGTGCCTCTACAAGCTGAAGACGACTGTAATCCATACATTGGAGCTCTCAACTTCTCGGCTGATACAACCGATTGCCAGGTATCGCGGCTTCTCTGCGTGGTCCTACATTTTAACTTTCGTCTCTTCGCATGTACTATTAGCATTGTACACGCGAACGTAATTATATAAAACGTTGCGCTAAGAAAATCAATTAAACAATCAAATGTTCTTTGTAGGTATTCTACATTTGCGACCACGGGTGGCCAAAAATCCGCCATTGTCCATCAGACACTATATGGACACCGGCAGTTAGTAGATGCATGGGCAAATACGAGGCTGTGAACAATGATTGTAATTACGAGGCTCCACAGAAGCCGACGGCCACGGTTGATACGATTGACGTTGGTATGTCCCCAAATTTACATTATAATGCTATAAAGAATATAAATAGCAGAGAACAGTAAACCGAGGCAGCGACTTTCTATCAAACCACCTCACCTCCACCAAATCATCATAGAGGGAAAGGAAGTTTTCGATAGCACAAAATTTAATTAAATTGATGACTCGTTCAGATTTTCTTGCACATGTAGATCAGTACATTAGCGGCCCTTAGTTTAGGATCAAAGACTTCTTTTGCACTGAAGTAATTATTGAGTCATTGTATTCTGTTGATGTGTACGCATTTCAGTTGCTTGTTTGGAGCACACATCGCGCTGCAATGGCCGCGTTGAGTGCGAGGATGGGTCAGATGAACAAGGCTGCGCTTCGGTCTGTGATCCCTCTACCTGCAGGCTGCCCGATTGTAAATGCAGCGACGCCGAGATCCCAGGTGGATTCCTTGCTAGCGAGATCCCACAAATGGTGCTGCTTGCGTGGGACGAAGCTCTGAGGGTTGAGGATTACAACCATCTTCTTCAGCAGGTAAGAAATACTTTGCGACTGATTATCCATGAATGGTGTTTCACGCACAATCAACGCGCTTTTTTGTAACCCAGCGTGTATAGAATTACGCTAATCAACTTTGGAATTTGTGAATTTTGCGACATATATTAGCCCAATTTATGAGCAGTAAAATTATTGTCCCACCATGCATATAGATATTGAAAAAGGTGACTCGACAGCGACGAAGAGAGCCTAGAAAGAATCCCAATGGTTGTCCAGCCGTTGCTACTTTCTTTACCAGCCACCAGTTCACTGACTACGCTGCTGTACAGAGTCTATATTCTGAAGGCAACGAGTTTGCTGCTCATTCTATCACGTAAGTGGTCGACGATTTGATAGATATATTTTTACAATGATTGCTTTAATACAAAGATTACGGACAGAGTTATGGTGATACCAAATGTCATTCTGTCACAATGCAATAATATGACCGCAATCACCTTACAGGAAGAGGACACCGGCTGCATTCTGGGCCGAAGCTTCTGATGAGGAACTCGCTGCTGAGTATTCGGGCCAGCTTGTGCAGTTCAACAATCTGGCTGGTATCCCCCCGAATGACATCCACGGTATTAGATCTGCTTACCTCCAGACGAAGGGCAACGACTACATTAAGCTCATGCGCGACGAAGGATTTACATACGACTCTTCCTATGCTACCAACCAAATGGATCCTCCTTACTGGCCGTACACCTTCGACTACCTATCCAGCGCTGGCTGCGCCATCCCACCGTGTGTAACCGAACCCGTTGCCGGCTTCTGGGAAATTCCCCTGGTAGACTGGCTGGACACCAACGACACCCTGTGTGAGAACGTTGACAGCTGCTACTTCCCCGCTGACAAGGTAGAAGCTCTCGCCTTGCTGAGGAGCAACTTCCTTCGCCACTACAAGAGCAATAAGGCTCCATTTACGCTGAATCTCCGTGCAAGGTAAGCATCACGTCATTTCATGTCTCCATTGTTACGAAGTGGTCACACAAGTGGTTTCTGGATTATGGCTATCATAATCTATTTGATACAAGGTTACACCTGTAAATGTTAATCTGCCGTGTAAGCGACTGATTTCATTGTATTCGTTGCTACATCATGCGCGTGCTAAGACTCGCAGTGTCCAAACTAACGTACGGTATCACACAAGTGGTTTCTGGATTATGGCTATCACAACCGATTTGATACAGGGTTACATAGCATGTAAATGTTAATCTTGTTGCTACATCATGCGCGTGCTTAAGATCCGCAGTGTCCAAACTAACGTACGGTATCACACAGGTGGTTTCTGAATGATGGCTATCACAATCTGGAGGCCCTGCAGGAATTTCTGGACGAGATTCAAAACAACCTGGATGTCTACCTGGTCACCTACAGTCAGGCGCTTGCGTGGATCAAGAAACCCGTGAAGCTTTCTAACATCCTGAGCTCGGATGTGTTCGCGTGTAAATATGACGACCGCACCCCACTCTGCGAGCATCCCAACCTTTGTGGGTACTATAACATCACCCACGAACCCAACGACGAGGAACATCCAGGTGACAGGTTCTTCCAGACCTGTGCCGACTGTCCGGCTGCTTATCCGTGGGTGGACAACCCAGCAGGCACAGCTTAGATCCTCACTGAAATTACTATAGACGATAATACAGACTACCCATCCATTATAAACGACCGTTGGAAATAATTTAACATCGCGCACTTGCTTATTGCGTTGACAAGCGTCGCATTATATAATAATATATTTATTAGTACTTACCCCAATTCTAGAGTACTTTGCGTGAATTTATTTTTAGCATTTTTTAAAGTTTTGTTTAACACATAGTCCACGTAGAATTAGCTTATAATTTAAAGTGGCGCGCTTTCTATGATAAAACTTTGGGGGCCATGATCTTTCGAATCGTTCTTAGAGTTGGTGCCTTTCAATTCGTGTCATATCAAGGTACTATCGGAAGTCCGGACCGGTTGCACACTCACTCTAAATCTAACTATGATAAAATCTCGAAAATTATTCCAATTGCGTACGAGTGGAACTCGGCATAACAGGAAACTGCTGTTAGGTCACGCGTTGACTTATAGGGGGCGGTTCCTCCGATCACTGAGGCAACATTTAGATTTACATATTACACATTACCATTATTTAGTTAGTAGCTGCGGGTACTCGGTGACACAGTTCACGTACAGTTTTATACGCATAATCTTTTATAATGTCTATTTGCATATTTAAATATCGATACCTAAGCTGTAAATATCCTCTATTTAACCGACCCGCCCGCCGGTAGGTAAGATGTATGCAAAACGTAATAAATTTTCGTACCGCAAATTTACGACTACTGTGTTACTGATGTGTTTCTTGTCCCGACATCAACATGTGAATACACAAAATAAAATCACAATGTTACAATAGGCGAGAACGAGTGCACAGCACTTATTTTATATGTCTTGCCATTAGTTAAAATCAATCGTGCATGACAAATTCGACGCTGTTTGAAATCTTCTTTGTACAGACATTGCAGTGAATCTGTAGGGCGCTGACAATCACCGTATGGGTTCAACCGCATTTCTAATAAGCCTAACAGACCATGGGCGCAACCACTGGGGGGGGGGGGTCACGACCCTCCCGACTTTTATGTGGAACTCCCCAACTTCTGGAAGACCTTATTTTCTGGGAGGTCCAAAATAGTCCGATAAACGTTTATTATCGTGAAACATCAATATTTCACAGGTGAAAGTTAAAATAAATAAAAACCCCAGGTGGTCAAGTGCAGTGTGATAACTGTGATTCAGATTCAGATATCTAAATAGAACCCTTGTTAATATCATTTAGATTTGACCTACAAAGTACATTCAATTTCACGTGCATGGATCGAGCACGATATTCACCACGCGTTCGCAAGCAAACTGTGTTATAGACACACACACAAAATAAAAAAGTTTGACTTTGGCCGGCTGACGTGACGGCGAAAAGACAATTGAACCAATCAACGCGATTGTTTTTTATCACGTGTTCTGGAATCGATATTGAAGCAATTGCAAATAATTTTGTTGCAAAGTGTGACTCAATGAAGGTCACATTTGGTTTCTAACACTGTTCTCTGTTTTAACGTGTCAGACATTTTTTTGTATTATCATTTTCATCATTATTATTTACCTCTTCATCTTAATCATGCTAACTGTGTCACACAGTTAGCACAGTCTGTGTGTAGCTTTACTACTAGCTTAATCTAATTAATAAAACATTTTGGCATTTTATGTATACATGATCCTAGTAATGTAATTCATGACATCACAATTATGCAACACTTCCATCAACACGCTGAAATACGTGATATTGAACCAATACGTGATATTCGCTTGCCCGCAGATCACGTTGCTATTGGCTGCTTGTGACCCCCCCAACTTTCAACACGTGGTTGCGCCCTTGTAACAGACCATACATAAAATACCAGTGTTCTTCTCACTTGTACCATTTCAACAGCCCTCCGCGAAGGACTCGTAAAATGATAATGGTAGAATAATAGTAGAATACAGAAAAAGAGAATAGAGATAAAATAGTAGAATTATATATATATATATATATATATATATATGTGTGTATAATATATAATTATATATATATATATATATATATATATATATATGTATGGTGCGTGCGCGCAAGCGTGTACGTGCACGCGTGTACGTGAACGCATGCGTGTACGTACGCGTATACGTGCGCGCATGCACGCGTGTACGTGCGCGCGTGCTTGTACGTACGCTTACGCTTGTATGTGCACGCACGCATGTATGTGCGCGCACGCGTGTACGTGCGCGCATGCGTGTACGTGCGCGCATGCATGTATACGCACGCACGCGTGTATGCGAGTATATACATGCACGCGTGCTGTCATATCCATCTGTGTACGGCAGATACACGCTTATTCAGTATTCGTGCCTTTGATTTGTCAATTCGTCAATTCGTCAAATCGTCAATTCGGCGATTCAATTTGGCAATTCGTTATTTAATTGCTCAATTGAACGTTTGAATGATTAAACGACTGTTCAATTGAACAAGCAATCGATCAATTGAACGTTTGAATGATTAAACGACTGTTCAATTGAACAAGCAATCGATCAATTGAACAATCAATCGATCAATTGAACGTTTAAATGATTAAATTGACTGTTCAATTGAACAATCAATCGATCAATTGAATGTTTGAATGATTAAACGACTGTTCAATTGAACAATCAATCGATCAATTGAACGTTTGAATGATTAAACGACTGTTCAATTGAACAATCAATCGATCAATTGAACGTTTGAATTTTGACACATCCCCTCCCATACACGCGTACGCTCGCGGTCGACGTTGGCCAACTCGCAGTCGTCAGTGTAAACGCACTGCACAGTTCATAGAACGGTTGATAGAGCGTTGGGAAGTTGGTTCCAACACAAAGTTGGCAGTGTAAACCCAGCTTTACTCTTACATTTGATGAGATGTACATACGCGTTCATCATGGCCATAACATCATAGCAGCGCACCATATGTATAATCATTCACACTTATTCGTATTAACAGATCACAATATATATATATACATATATATATATATCTATTTATTTATTTATTTATATATAATTATATATACGCACGCGCACGCACACGCACACGCACACGCACACGCACACGCACACGCACACGCACACGCACACGCACACGCACATGCACACGCGCGCACACAAACACACACACACACACACACACACACACACAACAACACACACACAACACACACACACACACTGGCATCCGGTGTGGTCGTTGGCAATGGCATCAAACGTATTCAGAATTCTTTATATTGAGCTCACGTCACCCTTATTATAATCTATAGCGTATTGTAGGCGTAATCCCAGCTTCGGGCCACCCCTTCTGTGTTATAGTTGATAGTGAAAGATGTGATGAAAGACCTCCCTTATTGTATGTACATACGCCAAAGGCTTTATTTCTACACATCAGACACTATTTGCCTAAGTTCGCTAGCCACCTGCTCAGAACCTCTATACGGGACTCTTGCCAGAATGTGGACTCAATACACTGTCGATTGTATAAATTTATTATATTATAATCAATTATGAGTGTTATATACTTATGATATTGCTATGCTATAGTGATTTTAGATTATTATGGTCGAAGACGCCTATAGCGCGCTTGCCCTCAAACCGCCCGCCTCAGGCACTCGCATTTACCGCAATACATATAATACACGTTTAACGGTTAGTTATAATTGGTATTAGATAAACTTCTGCCTTGTTGAGGGTACTCTGCAAGGTGGTGATGTAAATTAGGAGAGCGGGTGTATGAGTCTAAACCGTCATGCATGCACTGATTGCCAGGGTGCAACTTGATATGTGCGCCTCGATACGGCACCTTCGCCCACCACGCCGCCCGTGCACGTGCGTGCACGTGCGTTGTACCGTGCCGTTCGCAGGTAGTCCGTCGATTTACCACTCACAGAGTCATATAATACATTTTCGTGTGCGTGCTTGGAGCAGTAGTGACCGCGTTATACCGGTGTGAGTTGATAAACCTCTCGCGTGTTTAGTATACTACTATATACAGTGTATGTATATAATCGTGTATCTGCGTGTACCTGCGTGTACGTGTGACTTGCGTGTAGATACACGCCACGTACTACACGCGTAGATTACCCGTAGAGATACGACTGCACGTGATACACTAGCGGTGATATACGTAATAAACTACCGCCACTACTACGCGATATGCGTCGAAGCACCGACATACGTACATCGCTATCGTAAGTCACGATCGCTATCATCCGCATCAATTACTTGCTTACACGCCGTGACCTACTGAGTAACATGACGCATTACCGTACCGCCCGCAGGGAATTACAATCGCAGCGTACACGCACGTCGGCTATCACACACACCTAGCAAATGCAACACTATCCGCCACACACACGCGCGCAGTCACCGCAACACCGCGACCCAGCGCAACCACGGGTACACGCACCTTGCGGGCTACACCAGCAAACATTACAAACTGCACGGCACGATACCACACTCCACGCCCCACGGGACCGGCGCACGACATGCACCACACATGACCACACGTACAGCAGCCCATCACGACCAGCACTCACACGCGCGACACAGCTCACGACAACCACCGCCCCGATACCAACCAGCAGCGCAGCACATGCACACACTGACAGCACAGCACAGGGACGAGCTGCAACCCACACAACGACATCACGACACGCGCACAGCACCGCACTAACCCGACACAGTACCCAACCACGCATCCCAGCACACACACACACACACACACACACACACACACACACACACACACATCTAGCTGCGGTACCGAAACTTGAAATGAAAGCAGTTGAATCGAGGCATGGCCTTGACAAGCAGCAACGATGTCGGTTCAAATGTCTTTTGCTCTAACCGGTGCGTTTACAACATATTTCACCTGACACCGACCGGCCAAAATGTAAATCTCCCTATGAAATCGCACGTACGTTCACTTAGACTGCTTAACCTCTTGTAGAGCTAGATACTAGAGTAGTTGAGTCATTGATAATGACACTGGTACTC